TTGGCTGTTGGCTATTTCCACAAATATACCCTTGCGACTTGTGACTGGTTTTGTGGTCCAGGGTAAAAAATGATCTTTTTAATAAAATCTGAGAGTTTTCGGTAACACTTTACTTGAAGGGGTGTACATAAGACTGACATAAACCATGACATGACATATGTCATGAATATGAAGTAGGGTTTATGCATGTTTATACCAAACTGTCATTAAGTGTCTTTCGCTCAATAATGACATTTTGAATGCAAATATGACATTGTTTAAGATGTCTTTGTTATGACACCTTGACATAAACCATAACTTCATAACCTGTCAGTGTCTTTGTCATGACAACTTGACATTAAATTAAGTTAAACTGTCATGTATTTGGTTTTGACATTGGCTGTCATAAGGCCATTATAACTGTGTCATGAATATTTTTCGTGACCTCAACTACAGTGGTACAAATTGAATTTGTCATTAAACAGTTATAATGGCTTCATGACAGCCAATGTCAAAACCAACCACCTGATAGTTTAATGTAATGTTAACCAATAAAGCTAAGTGGTTTCTTAAGTTTGATAATTAATTTGCTATGTCATGTTTATGACAGGTTGTGTTGTCTTAGTAATGTCAAGTTGTCATGACAAAGACACTGACAGGTTATGATGTATTGGTTTATGTCAAGGTGTCATAACAAAGACATCTCAAACAATGTCATATTTGCATTAAAAATGTCATAATTGAGCGAGTGACACTAAGGGCCCTATTTTAACGATCTGAAACGCAAGTGTCAAAGCGCAAAGCGCAAGTAACTTTGTGTGCGGATCCCGGCGCTGTTGCTATTTTCCCGGCGGGATAAATGCCTCTTGCGCCTGGCGCAAATCTAAAAGGGGTTGGTCTGAAGTAGTTTCATTATTCATAGGTGTGGTTTGGGCGTAACGTGGAATAAACCAATCAGAGCGTCATCTCACATACCCTTTAAGAGCAGGTGCGCATGTTGCATGGCGGATTGCTATTATAACGGCGGATTTACCAGGCGCGCGTCAGGAGCGGTTCACAGCCGAGGAGACCAACGTTCTTGTCAGGACCGTGAAAGACAGAGAAGTGACGTTGTATTGCGTGTTTTGCGTGCACCTGTAAACTATGGCATAAACCCTCATGCAGTAACACCCTCAGACGGCACTGTTTATTGACTGTCTGAAGTAGAATGCATGCAGAAATAACAAGAAATTCAACGTTCAAATCAGACTTATCTATCTATTTATCTCTCTATCTCTCTCTCTCTCTCTCTTTCTCTATCTATCTATCTATCTATCTATCTATCTATCTATCTATCTATCTATCTATCTATCTATCTATCTATCTATCTATCTATCTATCTATCTATCTATCTATCTATCTATCTATCTATCTATCTATCTATCTATCTATCTATCTATCTATCTATCTATCTATCTATCTATCTATCTATCTATCTATCTATCTATCTATCTATCTATCTATCTATCTATCTATCTATCTATCGTGGGTGGGTTTCTCCCATCCCCATACAAATCAGCGTCGGTTAAACAGGCGTGGGAGGAAAAAAACTAAATTTTCATGGACACCACAATGATTTCCCTCATGTGTTAATATTTTTCCTTGTTATAATGTATGATTTGCAAAAATAAAAACTGCTGCATCTGTGTTGATGAGAGAATCAAAGTGTATGCGCGTTGTGCACCCGCTACATTATGGCCAAGCATGCGCGCTTAAAATAGCATAATGAACAACGCGCAACGCGCCACTGACTTTAGACTAGTTTTTTTCTGGTCAGTGGCGCAATTGTTTTATAGAACAGCAAAATAGCATGAGGGAAAGTTTGCGCCGGAACACGCCTCCTCTTTGCGCTGAACCGCCCCGGGGAGCGCAAGTGTATTTCTTAGTTAACCGACGTGTGTCTGTGGAGGGAAAAGTCCGCTTTGCGCGGGTGCAAAATAGGAATGATACATGCGTCAGTGTACAAAGTCATTTGCGCCGAGTGCAAGATGGAGCCCTAAATGACAGTTGTCACAAACATGCATAAAACTTGCTTCATATTCATAACATGTGTCATGTCATTATTATGAAGGTGTCATGTTAGTCTTATGCACACCCCTTCAAGTAAAGTGTTACCGAGTTTTCTGTCCCTCCATTGACTACTTTCAAGCCCCAGAAAGGTAGTAAAGACGTAATCCTTGTGACTCAAATTTCTAATTTGAGTCACAAGGATATTTGGATATCAATTATAAATTTGGATATCAAATTAATGAAGTGACGTGAGTGCTTTGTTTCCACAAAAAAAAAAAAAAAATGTACCGCTCTATTTAAAAAATATTAATCTCCAACGCAAGTTCACGTAACAATGTCTCCTCTCGTGTCAACACATGTATGCGTTATGATGCTTTCGTGAACGCATGTTGGAGATTAATATTTTATAAATAAAGTGGTAAATTGTTTGTTTTTTTGTGCAAACAAAGCACTTGTGTCGCTTCATAAAAGTGATGAAGTCACATGGATTCCTTTCATGATGTCTTTACTACCTTTCTGGGGCTTGAAAGTGGTAGTTGCTTAGCTGTCAATGGAGGGACAGAAAACTCAGATTTCATTAAAAAGATCTTCATTTGTGTTCTGAAGATGAACGAATGTCTTATGGGTTTGGAATGACATGCGGATGAGTAATACTGTAAATGACAGAAGTTTTATTTTTGGGTGAACTAACCCTATAAGAGAGAGCAGAGCATACCATAACTATACGTTATGTACTGTACAAGCCAAACTAGCTTTAAACCAAACCACCATCCTCACTTGCAGAGCAGCCCATTTGAACCACTCTGGGAGACTCATTGTATTTCATGAGTCTAATTGTATGAGATTATGCCTGAATGAAGAGACACTCCACATGGGGCCACATGGGGGGGTTCTCCATTTTCATCACAAAGCCATGGGCCACCTCCATGTGTTGTACTGATCCACTACACACACCCTCACAAACACGCACAATCATTTTTCTATGGTAGAGATTAAAGTGAATTAAGAGTAGGACTTTGACTAATGCCAGTCTGGATGTCATTACAGAGGGTTTGGCATGAGGTCCCGCTGTGCTGACTGGTCAAGCTTCAGGATTAACACACCCCAGGGGAAACATACAAGATGGTGTGAGTGATGAGGTTTTGGGAGGGATGTGAGGTGGCAGGGACAGGTAGAGACTAATCCCACCAAATTGTAGGGCTGTCGGATGCATATTGTGCATAAAGTAGTTCCAATTAGTGATTTTTATTTTTTACTAAAACACAGAAAATTTAATTCAAGTTTTCATTTAGCCGAAAAGATAATGCATTGGTAATTACATTTTTTGAAGAGGTGTTAGTGAGGCCGGTAGGGGGTGCTCACCATGTGGTCTGTGTGGGTCCTAATGCCCCAGTATAGTGACGGGGACACCATGCTGTCAAAAAGATGGATTAGACATTAAATCGAGCTCCAGGCTGTCTGTGGTCATTAAAAGAGTAGGGATGTCCTGGCCAAATATTCTCATTGGCTTCTGTCCATCATCATGGCCTCCTAATCATCCCCAAATATACTGATTGGCTTCATCACTCTGTCTCCTCCACCAGTACACTGGTTTGTGGTGGGCGTTCTGGCTCAATGGTGGATGAGGAGTTTCCCCCTTCCATATGTAAAGCACTTTGAGTGCAGAGAAAAGCGCTAATAATGTAATGATTATTTTTTATTATTAATATTACAAATGATTTATGTAAATGGCTAATTGATGCTGTTCAGGGTATCATGTTCACAGGTGATAAACCGTTCGTAGGAAAGTTCTTTGGCAACGAGCCTCCTCTTAATATTTCAGCCTAACTAAATTTACCGATTGCAACTCTAACATAATTTTTGGTCATGGTGAAGTCCGTCAACATCGCTGACACGTTTAGTTTTAGTATCCACACTGTGTGCATGAAATAGTCACTGACAAAGTTCAAATGTGTCATCGGAGAAGTGCTGACTATTTAGGTTACTAATTCCGGCCCTCCAAAACCATTTCGGCTGAATTATTTTTTATTTTTTTGCTTTTTTTTGGGGGCATTTTTTCAAAAATGTCAGTGCATAACTAGTTCCAATCCTTTTAAATACACTGTACATTCAATCTATATCATTTAACTTTATACAACAATGCAATGCGCTTAACGTTCATGACACATTTTGTCAACATTACACATATTCTGTTTCACGTAATTTCAACATACATTAAAGGCGGTATGTGATACGCTAGTATTTTATTCCGTCCGAGTCCATCCTGTGTGTATGAAGCCAAACTGATGAACTGATAAACGCAGGGGAACCTCTTTGTAAACTGCGCTATGTGGGTTTTACGATCCGACACTAGAGCAGCGCTGGGTTTTTTTAGGGTGGGAGGCTGATTAGACGAAATACAGCACTTTCACTGTCAGCAGTTTTACAACAGTCCTCAACATGTGTCCAGTTAAGACGCATAATGCATTCCCCCCAGTTTTACAGCTTGAATGTCAAATAAATCTGTATAAGCACATTTGCCTAAATAAAGAAAGCAATTAAAGTGAAAGGAGACCTTTTATAAATACTAATGTCCTGTTTAAGTGAGCTTGCTAGTACAGTAGCTCAAAGTGGGCATCTTGGCAGACTGGAAATGTAATGTTTAATTCATTCGAGGACCGGCTGAAAAGCGGCCCGCTTGCTGAATCGTCATATTCCACTGCTCCGTTTGCTCTGCGCTCTTCCAGTGCGAGAGAAAGCCGATTGTGTGTTGTTCCTGAAAGCTGAGATGCCGTACGTGTGTGTGAGTGGAAAGGTGGAACATGGCTCGATATCATGCATCTTGATATATACGCTAATGTTTTTGTTGGCCGTTCTCCACAAAGTGTTAAATCTTAATGCACATGGCTGTGTTTGTGTGTGTATGGCCACATCACTGCTAAATGCCTGCATTAACCAGGCGCTCATCCTCTCCTCTCTGCTCTTTTCTGCAGATCCTGAGTCCCAGAGGAAACGCACCGTTCAGAATGTCCTCGACCTCCGGCAGAACCTGGAAGATACCATGACCAGCTTACGGGGGTCGCAGCTCAGCCACAGGTACTGGAGCTCACACGCCAAGCCAAGCACTGCTTGCTTCTTGACTGTGTTTTGTTTTGTTTTGTTTTGTTTTTTTGTCTTGTTTTGTTTTGTTTTGTTTTGTTTTGTTTTTTTGTTTTGTTTTGTTTTGTTTTGTTTTGTTGTTTTGTGTTGTTTTGTTTTGTTTTGTTTTGTTTTGTTGTGTTTTGTTTTTTGTTTTGTTTTGTTGTTTTTGGTTTATTGTATTCTAGTAAATCACAAAAATCAGGTTTTAAAACTAAAATAAGGGTTGCCAAAATGTCAAAAAATAAGGCAACATAGTATAATAAATATTATTTTAATAATTATAAACTTATTTGTACTGGCAATTATTTTTTTTTAGGTTTTTTTTAGTTTTTTTTTTTTTTTAAATCTTGTGTTTTGTTTTGTTTTTTTCATTTTTTCTTTTTTGTTAATTGTATGATAGGAAATCACACAAATCAGGTTTTAAAACTAAGGGTTGTTTAGTTGTTTTATTTTGTGTTGTGTTTTTGTTTATTTTTTTCATTGTTTTGGTTTATTGTATTCTAGTAAATCACAAAAATCAGGTTTTAAAACTAAAATAAGGGTTGCCAAAATGTCAAAAATAAGACAACATAGTATAATAAATATTATTTTAATAATTATAAACTTATTTGTATTGGCTAGAATTTTATTGTAATTTTTTTTTTTTTAAATGGTATGCTAGGAAATCACACACATCAGTTTTTAAAACTAAGGGTTGCCAAAATGTCAAAAATAAGACAAAACAGTATAATAATTGTTATTGTGATAATTATACTCTATTGGTATTGGCAATAATTTTGCACAGCATATTTTATGTTGTATTTTGTAGTGATTTCATTTTGTTTCCTTTTCTTTTTTTTCTATCTTTTTGTTTTTCTTTAGTTGTTTTATTTTGTGTTGTGTTTTGGTTTAATTTTTCATTGTTTTGCTTTTTGGTTTATTGTATGCTAGTAAATCACAAAAATCAGGTTTTAAAACTAAAACAAGGGTTGCCAAAATGCAAAAAAAAAAAAAAAAAAGACAATATAGTATAATAACTATTATTGTAATAATTATAAGCGTATCGGTATTGGCCAGAATTTTATCTTAATGTAAATGCATTCTTTTTAAAAAAAAGTTCAAATGTCCTTCCTTAATGTCATATACAAATGTGGTTCAGAGGAATTTTACATGTGACCAAGTCCAAACATCACCAAAGTCAGTCAGCAGTCGTGGAATAGAGCAGCAGATGTTTCTCTGTCCTTCTCACATCAGCACCTCCCCCTGTTGTTTCCTGCTTTTCAAGGTCCACAAACACACATAAATATATAAAAAATAAACACAGTGAAAGGATGGATTAGCATCTCATCAGAAAGCCACAACTGCCAGACCTCACACAGTATGTTGTGTTAGTGTATTGATATCAGAGCTACTGGTAATGTTTGTGCTAGAGTGTTGTTTAAAGAAGCCATAAGCACTCCTTTAACCAGAGGAAGTCTGATGCAATGCTCGAGGAAGCTGTTAAGGGTGCGTTATTCTAAACCAAGAGTTCAGCCCTGCAAACCAAACACACTGTATATTGTGTAACAGCTGTCAGAGCTATGGCTTAGTGGTGGACACGGGTACTCTGACGCATTGAGCCGTGGTGCTCATATACGGGTGATGTGAATTCAAATCCAGCTCGAGTCTTCTGGCAGACTTTAACAGATGAACTGTGTGAGATCCATAAGCGTAGTGTATCTCAGCACTCCATCTTTCACTTAGGCTGAGTGTGTCTGGGTGATTTTAGTACTGCCTCCAAGTATAAAATAACTCTGCCTCAGCAGCTGTAAAGTCATTCTATTAAAACCTTAACATAATTAGGCTGATTTAATGCACATTAACACTAATGCCCCTGTAGAGAGAAAGTCTGTAATGTGCTGAGCCCAAACTCCATAATAGACACTTTTCTGTTTCGTGTGGCCTTTATGATGCATAACAATAGCTACTTTCTTGATTTGTTATATTTTCTCTTCCTCCGATTGAAGTGTTCGCTGAAGGGCCTGTCGAGGGATAAAAGGAACGATAATCACTGTCATTTAGCCGTCATTATTATTCAACACAAAAAGTCAGGCAAACTGAAGCGCCTGGCATTTTCAAAGGATAATTCACATTCACGTCAATGCAATGAAATCCGTGTCTTTTTTGGGGGACATTTTCCTCAGCCTTTTGCTCTTTGTTGAAAATGTCTGCAGAAATATGTGATAACCGCAAGTGTGCAGTGCATTGTGGGTATTAATGGAAAGCTTTGAGTTGGTCTGTGTCGGTTGCGTTCCTGTAGATCAATCGGTAGCATTTTTGTAGCGTGAAAAGTAGTGCATGGCGCTACGTATATGTCATGGGTTCGATTCCCAGGGGGAAAAAAAATCAATAATTTGAATGCAAAGTAGGCTACTGCATAAAAGCATCTGCCAAAAACATAAATGTAAATGCCAATTATGACTCTATAACCTAGAATTAAGCATAGACTTAGCATTCCCAAAGGTAGTTCCTCGGTTGGTGCATGCAGGACCAACCAGAAGTTTTTAATATTTCAACAAATAGGTATAGTGGTCCATCACTGAAGTCAATATATCGGCCGATATTTGATATATTTTTTATTTATCAACAGCATTGACCGATACATTTTCCTGTTTGGCTGAGAAGTGTCGAAAGTGGGACTTTTATTTTGACAGTGCGGGCACTCTTGTTTTGAAAGCTCTGTGAATGTCAGTGCAAACAAGGAATTCCTGTTCTCTGACTTTATTAGTTTACTGTCTTTGTTGAACAGTTCTGTTTAATAAATGATTTGATAGAAATGTTAAATAAAGACAGTAAACAATATATGAAAAATGTTTTTAGTTATAGTAAGGCAAACACCATAATCCTATCCCATTTACTGTCGGCATTCAAACAATACACGTTTATATAATTTAAACAAGTCTTTGAATATCGAATTAATCTTTATTTCTATTATCTATTATTTTCGAATATTTAATTTTTATTTATTTCAAACTTTAGCAAATCCAGCTGTTAGAAATAAAGTATTTGTAGCCTGCATAAAAACATGTGCACTTTTTGTGTGTGTCAGTCAGTCAGTCGGTCCTTGACACATGGTGAAACATTCACCTAAAGGGATTACGCTGCATAACTAAAAGTTTAATAGTGATCCCATTTTGAAAAAGATGATTTAGACACATTTACAGCTCTAATAACCCATATTTGTGTACTATAGAATTAGCCTATTTGAAATGATGTTCTGTGGTAATTGACAGCGTGCCATATAGATTGAACTTGTTTTGAACCAGACACATTCCATTAAATTTGAGAGAACTTTATCCCATTGCTTTGTATACTTTGAAAGTTGAGCTCAGGGACAGCGGGAAATAATCTCCATCCATCCGCTGGGCTTAAAAGTATTAAAACCAAACCTGGACACCTGGAAACTAAATAAGAGCATTAAAATCATTGCGGGGCAGGCCCACAACTCAGGAGGATATGAGTTTATCCAGATGAGGGCTTTAGTGAGGACGGGGATGGGCGGGTGTTGAATCGGCAGAAGGTCAGCCAGTTCCTCCAGCTGCCCAAACTGTGACCTACTATTTCAATATCAGGGGGGAAAAGGCACCCAAGGGGTCAATGTGTGTGTGTGTGTGTGTGTGATTGACTTCCTGTAGAAAACTTAAGCGGTGTGTACACCAGCCATGAAGGAAATTACACATCCTCAGACATGTTTTACCTCTAAATTCTCCTGTGTCCCCACATATGATGGATCACTTATAGACACGCATCCACAAAATGTGTAAGACTGAGACGAGTCTTGCGATGTGTCGATGAAACGGGTGTGCACGATAAGCTGACAGTTATATCTGGTATGACGAATGAGTTTGCCTGCACTCTCAGAAACGTCTCTGTGGAATTAAAGAGGTTTTTTCACATCAATTCCAGGCTGGAAACCTGTCTAGCCGGGGTCCAAAATGAGCTTTTTCTGGCACACCTGCCAGTGGTGGGTGAATTGAGAAAACGAGTCGCGTCAGATATTTTGTGGTATATCACTTCTTGCATCACTTCTTTTGGCAAGGATTGGAGTTGTATCAAATTCACATTTTTGAAGTTACATGTTTGACTACAAAACCTTTAGTCAGACATACTAGTCTCAGGAATGCAAGGCCATTGATGTCTTAGTCTAGGATTTTTTTCAAAGTCTTCGAAGGTGTGGTCACATTTACCGGTGTTTGG